CCTGGCACAGCGAGATTTAGGGCATAAAGAGGACTTTCCGAGACACACTTTAGAGAACACATTGCTGGGAGGTAGGAGGTGCTCTGAGCTCTTCCTGGGCCATCCCACCTCACTGCCTGTCTGTCAGTGTCTTCTGAGTTGCTGAGTCTCCTGTCCCCACCTTCTAAGCACCCTCCCTGAAGCCCCACCCATCCACACTGTGCCAACACCAGGGGCTGCACACCAACATCTCCTCAACTCTCTGAGGTGGTGGCACTTTTGCCATGTCATCAAGTGGGTGAGGAACTCAGGCACAGAAGTCACAGGACCTGCTCAAGGTCACATATCCAGACGGTGGCACACCCGGGATGTGAACCCAGGCAGCCCCCCACTGGTGCTTGGCATGTTGGGCAATGGTCCCCTGGTACCACTGTGCCAGCCGTGAACCCTGCCTGGGAGCCCCCCAGCTACAATGCACCCCAATCTGGGTGTGGGGCAGGATGCACAGGGACCTCGGCACCCTCTCCCAGCCAGGGCTAAAGTCAACACAGGGGCTGAGACCAGCCCTGGGAGGGGCCAGCCACCAACACAGCTGAGGAAAAGCAGCCAGCTGGATGTCGTGGTACATGCCTGTAATTCCAGCACTCTGGGAGGCTGAGGCAGGAGGATCACAAGTTCAAGCCAAGCCTGGGCAACATAGTAATACCTGGTCTCAAAATAAAAAATAAAAAAAGCCAGAATGTAGTTCAGTATAAAGTCCTGGGTTAAACCCCCAGTACCTCCCACAAACACACAAAAAAATAAGGAGCAGCAGGTGAGGAAAGGACCCCAGCTACATCCTGTATACCTACTGTGTGCTGGACCCTGGAGGCAGCCGGCCTAGCGGGTCCCCTGCAGTCCACACAGCTGCCCTGGCAGCAGAAGGCCTGGAGCTGAGAGGGACAGGTGACAAGCCAAGGCCGGCGCCCCAGCAGGGACTGTGAGAGGGAGTGAGATGGGCCCTCAGGGACACACGCACCCTGGGCTGCAGAGAGGGCTGAACAGCACATGGGAACCAGGAGGGCAGACGTGTCTCAGGGTACAGTGCTCCCCAGGGTGCCTGCCTGTATCCCTCCCAGCCTCCAAGCCCAGGTAGTCAGACAGCAACAGTATAGTCCTAATAGCACCATGTGGCCTCTGGCTCTTCACCTCAACACCACAAGGAGGTCGGGCCTGGGACCCTGAGGAGTTCCCTGCCTTTCCTGGCCCCCATTTCCCCACAGCCCACCTCTGAGGAAGCCCCTACCCCACCTGGGTGCCATTCTAATGGCCCATGCTTACCCAACTGGACTCCAGCCCCGCCAGGGCCTGGACCGTGTCTCCCAGTTGGTAAGAAGAGGGACCCCAGCTTTCTGTCAGGAGCCCCAGGCCTGACACAACCCCACAGGTCACCAGGAAGCCCAGCTCTCCCCCAGTGCCTTCCTGGTAAGACTCCTCACCAGCCCAGTGCCTGGCATGCAGCCAACCTTATCACACTCTGAACCAGGGGCTACAGCCAGTTCCCTTCAGGGAATCGCTTACCCCAGCCCCCCGGGTTCCTTTGTGGGTGCCATCCTCCTCCTCTGCCTTGGCCCTGATCCAGCTCTTCCCTTCCACCTGCTCCCACAGGAACACCAAATGCAGCTTCCCAGGCCACCCTGTCCCCTGAGCCGCCCCCTCCTCAGCTCTGATCACTTGTTTTTTGACACTTCCTCCAGTGGGCCAGTGGGCAGGGACCGGGCCTGATTCATCTCACCATTTCTGAGTGGGGCCTGGCACAGCAGTCCTGCCCACAGAAGCAGAGCTGGCCAGGGGATGATAAACAGGCTGCTCCCTCCTCCTCGCCCTCCTCCTCCCCCAGCACCTGTTTCCCTGTTGGCTTCTTCATGACAATTCATGGTTCAGTGTAGGACCAGAATCAAGGTTCAGCCTGTCCAGGGTCAGGCTCAGTATGTGGCTGGGTTAAGGGCTCAGTGTAGGACCAGGATCGAGATTCAGTCTGTCTAGGATCAGGGTTCAGTATGGAGCTACGGTCAGGGCCCACTGTGAAACCTCAGGCCTCTCTATCACCCCATCTGCAGCCTCCTCTGCTGCCCACTACCCTTGTGCTCCTGCTCTGTCGCTGACCACACTGGCCCGTCCACATTCCTCTCCAGACACCTGTGCCAGGACCCCAGGTTCGCTGTGCCCAGCTTCCTCCTGACCACAGCAAAGAAGCTCCCAGGGACGGTGCTTCCTGTGTCCCTACCTGACCTTCAGAAACAGTGAGATACAACACAGCACCCCTACTAACCCCATGCCTGGATCTTTGGGCTCCTCACTCACTCGGGACCCCCATGAGGACCCCACGGTGACCCCAAGTGTAGGTGCCATCTCCAGTTCTCTGAGGACCCAGTTAATCGGGTCAGCCCCAGCCTGGCCCTCGAAGGGCTCAGAAGACAGAGGGAAATCAGAGCAGCCAGAGCTGGCATCAGAGCAGCTTACTCCAGCACACAGCTGGGGCAGCGTCACCCCAGCCGCCCTGGCCAAGGCCCCGCTGTCTCTGCCTGCTCCTCACCAGTGCAGGGTCAAGTCGGTTGCTGGCAAGACACATGGCTCTCATTTTAATTAATTAAAGAAAAATCTAATCACTGCATTAAACTTCTCATTACTCCACTTGAATACCCGTTAAGTAAATTTAATTACCAGAGGATTGGGTTTCCCAGCCTCTTTCATTAGCTCCTGATAAGACTGCAAGGGGAGGGGAGAGGGCGGGAACAATGCTGCTCCCAGCCTCAGAGGGCAGGGCAGAGACTGTCCCTGGCCTCTGAAGCCAGACTGTGGAGTCTCTTTGGGGCCACCCTGGCCCTGGCCCAGGCACAGCCTGCACTCGTACTGCCCCTCGGAAGGCAAAGGCCTCGTGCAGTCTGTGCTTAATGCTTCCTTTATGGCCACTCTTGGTTTTTTGTTTTGTTTTTTCGTGATACTGGAAATCGAACTCGGGCTCTATGGCCACTCTTGGTTATTTACGCCCCAACCCCTTCCAAAAGAGTTTGAGGATGCTGAGAATATAAGCAGCACAAGGTAAAAAAACAAGAGAAGAAATTGGGACAAGAAAAAAATAATAAAAATAAGACAGATTAAGACGCCCCAAATTTAAAGACCCAATCCAAAACTGGCCATCTGACATGGACAGACATTTCTCAGATGAAGAAGTAGAAACACCAAATAAATATTATGAAAAAATGTTCAACATCACTGGTCATTCGAGAGATGCAAATGGAAACAACGCTGAGGTTCCATCTCACTCCAGAAGAATGGCTGCTGTCATGAAATCAACCAATAACAAACGCTGGAGGGGAAGAGGGGAAAAAAGGAGCCCCGCTCCACTGCTGCTGGGAGTGTAGACTGGTGCAACCACTGTGGGAATCAGTACGGAGAGAACTCAGAGAACTAAAACTAGAGGTTCCATTCAACACAGCTATTGCCCTTCTTGTTATCTTCCCAAAAGAATTAAAAGCATCCTACCACAGTAATATATGCACACCCATGTTTATAGCAGCACAATTTATAATAGCTAAATCTTGGAAACAGCACGAATGCCCATCAACTGACAAATGGATAAACAAAATGTAGGTTTTTATATAATGGAGCGCTATTCTGCCATAAAGACAACCTGGAGACATTTCTAGCTAAATGGACGCACCGTGAGACCATACTCTAAATCAGACACATGTGTTTCAATACACCATTGTTTCTCTGGTATGAGAAACCAAAAGCATAAATAAGAACTACAATGTATGACAGATATTGGGAAATGGGAAGAAAATGTTCAAATGGGAAAGAGAACAGGGAGGGGGGAAGAGGAAAGAAAGAAGGGACAAGAAGAAGGGTGAGAATAGAAGGAAAAAATGGAAACAAACTTTGTTAATAAGGAAAAGAGTTGAAGAGAGGGGGAACGGGAAAAAGGAAGAAACAAGATATATCATGTACAATACAAATTCCCTATGATGAATGTGATCATTATGTATCTCTAAAAAATAAATAAATGTTTTGCTTTAAAAAAAACAAGATGGGGCCAGGGATTTAGCTCAGCGGCTCGGTGGCCTGCCTTGCAAGTGCAAGAACCCGAGTTCAATCCCCGGTATGAAAAAAGATAAAAATAAAAAAATTTTTAAAAAGAGAGAAATAAAGGCAAAGCTAGAAGTCAAGGTATTGAGGACTCATCAGGTATGAGCCCCAAATGGTCTGAGCTTCCTGGCAGTCAAGGCAAGAAGAGGAAGACACTATTACCAATGGAGTATTTGTGGGGAAATGCACCCTGACCTCAGACTTCTCATCTGGAAGATAGGATCACAGAGACAACCCCGGCTGGACAGTCAGCAAAGATTCCTGGAAAAGGAAAACCTGAAGTAGGCCTTGGAAGGGCAGGATAAACTGCTGACATTTCCAAGCCCCGTGGACCCAAGTAAGGGTTCACAATGATCCAAGTCCTGCCAACAGGGCTTGAAAGATCAACCTTGAGCCTGTTCTCATTCTCAACCCCAGATTTAAACCTAGAAAAACATTGCCCCAGAAACTGCTCCCATACATCTTTCGATCAAATCCTGTCAAATGCCACTAGGAGTGCAGCCATCACCAAGGCAGAAACAAGAAGGAATATGCACAGACACTAGGCCCTGTTCCTATTGTTGGAGTCACTTGATCAAGTCCTACCTGAAGCTCACCTTTATTTTATTGAAACAGGTGTTTCGTTTTTGTTTTTACTACTTATAACCTAATCCGTCTTTCTGACAATTCATGTTCAGAAAGATATTCTTTCTCACCTAGGAAGAAGTCTCAGATATCTCAGGGATCAGGGAAGTGGGTGGAGCAGAATGTCACCTACCGGAACTGCTGCTGTGCCCTGCTGAGTCCTGAAGCCGGGGAGTCCCTGGGACCAGGTTGAGAGAGGAGAAGGCTTGGGAGCCAGTCAGGGGCCAGACAGGTTCAGTGCCCTGCAGATGTGGGCAGGAGGCTCTGTGGGCAGGAGGCTCTGCGGGCAGGAAGCTCTGCAGCCCCAGACTCAGGGCAGCCGGAACATGGCCATGGGGTCTCTGGAAAGAAGGAAGAAACCAGGAGTAAGCAGGAGGCTCCCCAGTGACAGGGACACAGGGCACAGAGGCTGGGCAAGTGGCTGCCACACCATCCCAAGTTTGTCTTCATGCCCTTCCAGCACTGCCTTTGCCACCCAGTCCCCCAAGCTTCGAAGGTCCTGCCCTGCAGAGAAGGGGGGTCAAGACCTCAGCCACAACAGCCCCCAAACGGGAGGCAGCCCCCTTGCTTTGACTTCCAGCCGTGACTCCTAGCACTCCCTGCCCGGACCCAGCCTCACCCAGGGGAGTATGCAGGTCGCCTGGGAGCCAGCCGTGGCTGGACCACCCCTGTGGGTTCCATGCTCTTCCCAGCTCTCCCAGGCCACCTGGGAGCCCCGGGGATGGAAGCAGGGCTGGCAATTTCTGGTTCAAGACCCATTAAGAGTCCTGGCCTTTGGAAAATCACTATAGCCCATAATTCATCCTCTGAGCACAGGGCTGCCCTGTGTCTTCCTGGCTCCATTAAAGGCACAGTGAAGCCGGGCATGGTGGTGCACCGCCGTGACCTCAGCACTGTGGGAGCCTGAGGCAGGAGGATTGCAAGTCTGAGCCCAGCTTGGCAACTTAGGATCCTTAGTGATCCAGTGAGACCCTGGCCCCACACTGCCATTTCTGTGAATGTGTCACCTCTCCTGGCCAATGCTGGTACTTATCCATGTTACAGCCCTGGCAAAGCAGCCCCAAGACCATCTGGGAACTCATCCTGGGGAGCCCTCTGTACACGGGGCTGCTGCTGCAGGGCTGTGACAACTCGAGACCCCAGGCCACCTCCCTGACCACAGTAGAGGTGACCAGGAAGTGTGGGCTCTGCTTGGCAGAACATCACTCAGCCACTAGAGATGACAAACAGTTGGGTGGAGACCTGGAACAATGAACCCCTGCCGGTACTGAGCGGGAAACTGAGGAAAGGGTGTGGGAGAGGCCGGGATTCATGGGCAGCACCATCCCCTGGAAGCTCACAAAAGGCCTCGCCAGGAGCCACAAGTGAGGTGTGTGTGTGCGTGTGTGTGTGTGTGTGTGTGTGTGTGTGTGTGTGTGTGTGTGTGTGTGTGTGTGTGTGCATGTGCGCACGCATGTGTGTCCCTTACAGGCTCAGTCAGACCCAGGCACCCAGAGCCTCTGGCTGGAAGAGCAGGAGACTCACAGGCTCGTGCACATGCACAACTGTTGTATCACTAACTGCGGCTGGAGCTCAGACTGCATCTCCATCACTTCTCCCTTCCATGTTTCCTCTATTTGTTCACAGAACACCGCGCACCCGACTGCTAGCCATGCCACAGGTACTGGGATGCACCGAGGCACACGACAGACAAGGTTGGTGCTGTTTTATGGTCAAGGGTCACAGAGAACCAGCAACTAAACACAACAGTTCCAAGGGGTGGCATAGGCTGTACAGATCACAGCCAGGATGGGAGAGGGACAGGAAGCAGTGCAGGCCAGGCAGGAAGGAGCGCGTGGGAGGAGCTTCAGATGGGGCCCAAGCATCCCAGATCCCAGGCTCCCACTGCGAGCTTTGGGGTCCTGGGTTCATTTCATTTCCCAAAGCTCAATTCCCTCATCTTTAATGTGCCAACCCAAATCCTCCCACACAAGCTGGGTGAATGATATATCTCAAGAGTTAGCTTTACAAATATTACCATTCCCTGCCTGTCATCCCAGCCCTTAGGAGGCTGAGGCAGGAAGATCAGTATGAGTGCTAGGCCACCCTGAACTATACAGTGAGAACTTGTCTCAAAAAAACAATAAAGGGGTGGGGTGGAGGGACTAAACAGCCCATTTGGGAAGATTCGTAAGTTTCATGTCCATTCTAGTAAGAGACTAGAAATGCTATACAGAGCACTGGAAGAGGCAGGGCAAACTTGGGGGAGCCCATGAGGGTGTGCATTTAGTACAATGCCCACAGCCACACGCATGGTCCCAGGCCTCTGCTTAGCTACCTGCAGGGACAGGCAACTCACTATGCCATGCCCAGCAGAGATCTGTCTCTCTGCAGTCTCTCCTCACACCTCCTCACCTTGCAGGAATCTAAAGCCCTGCCCAGGACCCTGGGGCTCCCTTCCCTGCCTTCCAGCCAAATTCATGGTGGCTGGGTGTGGCTCTTTCTAGAGCTGAGTAACAGGCTCTGTTAGCACCAGGTGGTCTCAGAGATGCTCAGGGCACCCATCCACTTTGCCCATTCAAGGGTCAGGTGCAGGCCTTTGGGCCTAACCCACCCTGCCCAGGCTGGATCTGCCTTCAAGGCTCCATCCTAGTTCCTGCCCAACAAACTGACCAAGGCCCAGCCCCTCCAGCTAGGGGAACTGGCCTGACCCAGTAGCCTCATTCCTGCACGTGGTTGCCTGTGCCCCAAGACCTTGCTCTTTCCCTGTCTCCTCCTCCCTGTGGTCCTGCCACAGCCCCTGAGGCTCCTTTGGACCAGGGCAGGATCAGACCTGGGCTGTGCTGTAGAAGCGGAGTCCCATGAAGCATCCTGCCCCTCCACCTCACCTGCCTGCCTGAGGGACAGAGAGGGGGCATCTGGAAGGAGAAGAGTGGCCTCTGTGGCCTACTGGGGTACCTCCCACTCCCGTGCTGTGTTATGTGCTGAGCTCTCAGGATAACTGGGGATCAGCTCAGAAAGATGAAGGAAGCTGTCCAAATTCAAAAGATGAAATGGACTAGAAATGGCTTCTAAGAGCTAGCATCTGGATCTGAACTTAGGGCTGCTGATTCCCAAATGCCAGGCTTCCCTGTGCTTCCTACCGCCTCTGTAGAGATACAAGGCTGCTCAGATGGGCACCCTGGTGAGAAGATGGGGGCAGAGAGAGGGAGAGAGAAGAGGGGAAGTAAAAGGACAAGGAGTAGCAGAGTCCAAAGGACAGGGTGTGGGGTGGCTTTGGAGCACCCTCTCCATCAGCAGCAGCCCTCATATGCTACCTGCTGTCATCCCCCTCCCATGTGGCTATAGGCTCCCTGTCCACTCCCAGATGCCCAAGCCCAAGGATGCGCCGGTCACTGGGTGTCTATGGTTAGCAGCAGCCCACCCTCCCTGAGGAGGACAGGTGGGCCCTGCGAGCCAGCTCACGCAGGGAGACAGGCAGACGGTGACAGCCTGTGCTACCCTGGGCACGGCCACCTGCCCATGCCTCGCCGGGGATCCAGCACCCAGCCTGTCCTTGGCCCCACACAGCCAGCCAGGTGTCCCTGCACCCAGCTGGAAACCTGCATGTCCCCAGAGCATGCAGGGTTTCCGCACAGCCTTCCCACTTAAGATCTCTTTCCTCTGTCTAAGAAAGAGAGAGTGGGGGAGGGAGGAAGGGATGGGGAGGATGAGAGGGAGGGAGGGAGCAGAGAGGAGGACGGAACCAAGGGAGAAACCCACCCCACTGCTGTATCAAGGTCGTGGGCACCCGCGTGGGGCGGGCGGGTGCACAGCCTTTAATCTGGGAGCTCAGGCCAGGAGACTAAGCGCTCCGCGCCGAGTACATTACTGCCCTGAATGATCTGTCGGCTCCTATTAGGCTAAATATCTCTGTAGATGGGGAATTATCCTCAGAACAGCAACTGCCTGCCTCTTGGGGAGGGGCAGGGAACCCTTGTTGTGGGGGCTGGAGGGGCAGGACCTACCTGACCCCCTCCACCCCTGGCTGGAAAGCTGCTGTGGTAGCCGAGTTGCCCCTTGCAGCAGGTGCTGCTCCCCCACATTCTCCCTCTGCTCCCTCCCTCCAGAGCCAGGAAGGCAGCCAGACCCTGGGCCATGGCTTGACAATGCCCTGGCCAACCAGGTGACCCTGGGCACATCTGAGCCTCTGTGTCCCTGTCTGCTGGGTGGATCTAGCTGTTCCTATCTGAAAGCTGGCTGTGTGGGTGGTGAGTAGGGAGCAAGTCAGAACAAGGCAGGATGGGCTCCAGTCTGTGTGCCATGGTAAAGACTCCCCTCCAACCTCCCTGGCCCACCTGCGCACTACCACCTCCTCCAGGAAGCCGTCCTGATCCCACCCAAGTCTCTCCTCCCTCAGGCACTGCATCATTTACTCCTCAGTCCCACCCACCCACCTGCCAGGCCCAAGTACCCAGGACCCTGTCAGGGTTTACAGCTTGGAAGCAGGGGCTGGGAGTAGGAATGATGGCCTGTCAGATGCAGGCTGAGCCCGGAGGGGTGACTTGCAGAGGCAAACAGCCAGCAGCAGCCAGGTCAGGAAGCAGAGGTCCCAGGACACAGCTCTGCAGCAGTAGGCAGGACAGGATGAGGCAGTGCTGGGCAGGGTGGAGAAGCATGGTGGTGAGGCTCTATTCAGGGTCCCTGGCACATCAGGCAGGGAGCTGCCCAGGCCAGGAGAGGACCCAGGTCAGGAGGGGCAGACTGGCCTGCGTGTGGGGGTGAGGGTCAGAGAACTCAGATGGGTCGGTCATGGGGCGCCAGGCGGGGAGGGCCTGCAGACACCAGTCTCTACCCACGGGGTCCCCTGCTACCATGGCAAACACCTGAGACAGCTCAGGATGCCCCCTCACAACAAAGAATACAAAATGCCCAGGGTCCTGCATCTGGAGCACACAGCCTGTTGGGGAGAAGGAAGACAGAGACAGCTCCAAGCTGTGGGACCATGGTCAGTTAGGACAGGCTTCCAGGAAGAAATCTTGGAAGGGTCCTGAGGGCGGAGGAGCTGGCTTGGAAGCAGCAGGAGAGCGCTGCAGATTGACAGCAGCCCACAAGAAGGGCTTGTGGGGTAGTTGAAGGGGGGCTGATCCCATCCCAAAGGCACTGGGAGCCTGAGGGTTTTAGATGGGGCTGAGAGGACCCAAGCTGGGTTTGAGAAAGACCTTCCTGTTTGACTGGGGGAGGATAAATTACACAGGAGCACAGGACAGAAGAGGCTTGAGTCAAGTTAGGACAGAGCCAGTGGCCAGGGAGAGAGCATGGGTCCTGGGGTGCAATGGGGTTGCAGTCCACAGTGAGGTGGGGCTTACACCAGTAGTACTGA